ACAACAAAATCCAAGGAGAGGGAAGAAAAATCCACACCATGAAGCATTTTTGTTTGTGCTTCTTGGCTATATCTGAGCATCATCACTGCTGGAAGCATTTTCCTACTGGTTCACACATCATACTGTTTCCAGTCCCCAGTAATATCCACCCATATCAATTCCTGAAGTAATGCTTCCTGCTTGAAAAAGCTGAGAGGAAAAAAAAAAGCTATTCTATTAACAACTTTACAAATTAGCTAAAAGTATCACTTACCAACATGCAGGCTTAAAAGGTGACACTATCATGAAGTTACATGATCCTACTAGGAAGAATGGATGATCATTTTGTCATATTCATATGACTTAAGCAGAGAGAACATTCTCTACAAATGATACTACTATTCCATTCCCCATGTACAAATATGGCTCACAATTTAATGAATTTATTTTTACCCTAGAGTGGGAAGCTGCTCTCATTTTCAGTCTTGCAGAGTTTCTTTTTTAGGTACTAGAGTTTATCAAAACTAGGGGGAGAGGTGAGCTCGGAAAGAAGCTAAAGGAACAGAAATGAAAGGAAAAAAAATCATATACTCTCATATTCTGTTAGGAGGCATTTCAAGATGTGTCTAGCCTTCCCATATGTACAAAAATACTTACAGTAGCACTTTATATCATAGCAAAGAACTGGAAACAAAGTGGGTATCAATCAGGTGGGGAACAGCTTTACAAATTATGATATATGAATGTATTAGACTATTGTAGCACTGTAAGAAATGGCAAAAAAAGTCATATTTAGAGACACCTGGGAAGATTTATGAATTGATGAAAAGTGAAATGAGCAGACCAAGAGAACAATTTATATGAATACAATAAGGCAGAACAACTGCGAACATTTAAAGAACTCTGATCAGTGCAATTACCAACCAATTACCAAATACTGATGAAGCACACTTTCTACCTCTTGGTACAGAGGTGAAGGACTAGATGTGCAGAATGAGACACACATTTTCAGACATGGCCAACGTGTGGATTTGTTTGTCTGACTACACTTATCTGATGTGAAGGATGGTTTTTATTTTGTAGCAGGAGGCAGTGTTGTTGAGGGGAGAGAAGGTAGGTAGTACTGACCCCCTTACCCCAATGAAAAATTGAAAACAAAACATTTAAACAATACACAGAAAAGAGAAGAGAAGAAAATTCAGAAGGTGCACCAAACAAGCAGGACAATTCTGGTACTACTGTGTTAAATTTCATTTACACTTAAAAACTACACAATAGAAGTTCAGTTAACACTCCTCTTTTTCTATTCTTTGTATACTGAAATGTTCACACACATATTGATGTTTGTTCAGTTCATAATAAAAAAGAAAATTTAAAAATAGCTTTACCCATCATTGGCTGCTTTACATAAGTACCCTTTCCTTCTCAACATTAAAGACTAAAGCTTTCATCTTTCTGAACTGAAAGAACACGTCTCTCCTTCCCACTCCACACCCCGCCCCTCCTTCATTTTAATAAACCTGCAAAAACTTGAAAAGTCCTAGTGTCTAGTACAGGAGATGGTCCAGGAACATCACTGAAGTCTCAGAGCCTCTCCCTGCTCAGCTGGACATTTCCTAACACTGGACAAATTGTACCTCCAGCTCAGTGAGAGTGCACAGCAATGGTCTTTCACCCTCCAAGCTGATTGTTAGCTTTTCATAGGAATCAGCGGGGAAGCACATGTGAACCCTCTGGTGATGGTGAGCATGCCCTGCCTTGTGGGGCTCTGCATGTAGATGAAGCCGACTCTCAGGCTGGCTGAGCTGCCCTGCTTCATTCTCAGAGAAGCCCTTTTCTCCGGCTTGGCTCCCTGCTGGGACAGCCCTTTTCAACCTTTCTATCCCCCCCTCAATCTCTTCTCCTGCAGAACATAGAGAAACTTGATTAGAATAAAGACCTAGGGAACATGTTTTATTTTCCCCCGTTCAATCCATTTTAGAAAAGCTTTTAATTGGTTTTAAAAAGATGCTAAACAAAATGTGATGATGTTTTTCAGTCTTCATGATCTACGCACTCCACTTTTTATATTCTCAAGGGGACACTAAACCGATCATTAAGTTCTTTATAGGGCTAAATTTGAAACACATCTACTCAACTCCAGGTTCATACAAGTCCAAGTATTTGTTTAGCAAAATTTAAACTATAAAGAACATTATCTTAGTGACTCGAGTCTGACATTCATTTTTAGACCTGCAATGGAAGGGCAAAACCCTCAGACAATTACACAGGAGAACAGGAGGGTTTGTACGCCAGCTTTAGTGAGCCAATTTACAATGCAGGGGGACAGGAGTGGGGGTGGGAGTATCTTGATACACAACACAGCTCCCCTGAAGTAATTGTCTTGCTCGGGCATGTGCACACATGATTTTTCTGGGTAGAATCATACCATATGTAAAATTAAGGTTTCTGTGTGGCTTATTATTATTGCATTGCATATCAGTGCAATTACATTCTTTTTTTTAGAAGAATGCCTACAGCTGAGCTGCTTAGTGCCAAATTTCTTACCAATGACACTTGACAGTTCCGTGTTTCTACAGTTTTGCCAAACTTCCACAGTCATACACCCTTAATATTTCACTGAAGAAATCTACCTGAAAAGCCTTACTGATAATGGCTTGGAAAAAAAAAACATTTCTATCTCTCAATGACAAAAATTCTCAACTTAGGATCTGCCTGAAAGATTCTCCTTACTTTCAGTAACAGTTTATGCTAATTTAAAAAGCATATAAGAACACATGATAATATTTTTATTTAGAGAATTATAGGCCACCCAGAAATAATTTGACTATTCAATTCTCCTTTCCCACATCCAAATATAAAAAAGAACCATCTCACCTAGAAGCCTAGGTTACAATTGCCAAATTCTGATTAAGTGTAGGATGACCGCTTGTGCTTCAAAAGACTTTAATGCTATTTAGTATTTTATCTCCCTTCTATTATTTAATCACCATCATATATCTGCAACTTTACAATTCCTTAAAGAAATTCTGACTTAACTGATTATACAATTGTCTTTTAGCTTTGTTCCAAATTATATCAGATATACTAAATGCACATCCCTTCCAACATCTGAGAAGCTTATGAAGTCCCATTTCTTTCTGAATCCTCCCTTGATAAATGTTTCCACTCACCAACCCTCCAAACAACATCACAAGAGTTCTCATTCATTCATTACTTATTAAACGCCTACTATGGTCACTGTGCTATGGTGTATACAAGAAGAATGGGACAATCCTACCCTAAAACAGCTTACTATCATTTATAAATGTAAACAGCTCATTTTCTGCTCTTGTCCAATTTAAAATCTGCATTCCCATTCTACAGGTTTACCTCTACCACTACTGTCTGAGTTTGATTGCAAGTATTTCCACGATTGGAGCATGCTAAGTGTAATTTCCTTTGTACAAAGTCTAGCACGGGGTAAAAATGTGTAACTAAAAATATTGTGGTGAGGGACTTCTGTGGAAAATGGTGGCTCCTTTGTTTTACTTTGAGAACAAATTTCACCAACAATTCTTGGTGGCTAGAAAAGTGTGTACCCTGGATAGTCCATCTGCTTGAAACTACCAAATTAAGGCTGCAGGAGGAAAAATGGATCTCAGAAAAGATTTTTTAGGGATGGAAGATTGGTAAAGATTGATTTTTCATCTCGGTAAATTTAAATTTATGTGAACATTAAAAGAAACAGGGAATGGAAATTTGCATATTCTTTTCTCCCTAAAGGAGAATTTTTCTCCCTAAAGGTCTTCTAAGACCTGACAGAAGCTAAAACTCTAATTATTAAGTTTACAGAAGGATAATAAAAACTTCTCCAAAGTCTTTGTAAGTTATGTTCCTTTACACTATAATCCTGAATACAATATTAAATTATTAGATTAAAAATTAGATACATCAGATTAACATTAATTTTTCTATGTTACTTAGATTAACTCCAGTCTCAGATAAAAGATTAAATCATTTTTATTCCCAAACACTGATATTAATGTTTTCAAGTCAGTACTTTAAAACTTTTATATTTGGCTTCTGACTGTAATATCTTTAAGGTTACAGGATGAAAAAAAGCTTGCTTACTTTGTCAATCAAGTGAATTTATATTTTGCGATATAACCAATCAGGTTCCAGCAGATACTACATTTTAATATTTCTAACTTACTCCTGTAAGTATATTGGAAGATTGGTGATTTTGGTAGCATAATAGATTCTAACATATATGAATAAAATGTGTAAGCATACTAATTAAAATCTGGACTGTATTCATGCTTCCCAAATACCTTTCCAAGTCAGTAAAGGATCAGAAAACCAACCCTTCTATATAAATATAAATTAATTTAAAAAATATTTTCATGAAATAATTCCAAGTTTCTCCAAAACACAAACTTTTAGAAAGTTCAATATAAAGGTGAATGAGAATGGGGAGGGTGTGTGTTCAACCTATTTTACCTAAACATGACCTCTAATAGGTCCTAAACACAATAACAGAAATGGTGGAGAAATTTTTTTTACTTCATTTAAAAAATGATTTCAAATTTATAAACCAGAGAATAAACAAAAAGTTCTGATAAATTAATCAGAAAGATTAAAATACTGGAAACATCTACAGAAGAAGACTCCACTTGTGGAGATGCTCAAGAAAACAGAAAACTGTTTAAGACCTGGTTTTAAGTTCTGCCTCTGACACATACTAGTTGTGTGACCACACTGAACATCTCAGTGCCCCCAGGCAATCCTCTAAAACAGTAAAGAGAAGTTGCTGACCTATAATAGTGTAGGAAGTTTCCACACTTGGAGTTCTAGACTTTCCACACTGATGAAATCACAGTTCAGTAGGAAAAACAAAAAAACAAAAAAAACAAAAATAAAAACAAAATTCCTCCAAAACTTTGACTTTACTCAGCAACAGTGCAACAATATGTATGCCTTTTACAAAACACTAATGAACATTACCATTACTTATCGAGCTTTGTTAAAACTGATTTTACCTGAGGTGGTGCCTTCTTCAGTAATACGAGAAGGGCCTGCAATACTAGATTGGAAAATCGAGGTCCAATAGGGACATAATCTAAAAGATAAGAATGTTATGTTTGTGGATTAAAAACACACATGTACAGATTTTGAGAGTTCACATTTTTATTTATCAATAAGTACACACACACATGCTAAGCAATAACCAAGTGTCCCCAAAAGCAAGGCAAAAAGTCTAAGGATGGTGAGGGAAGGACTGGATACTGTACCATATGAATATTAATTAAAAGAGGTGGAGATGGCTAGCCTAGAAAAGACTTAAAAGAGTGAGGACATCATAGCTATCTTGAACTTGAAGGGCTATTGCCATGTACAAGAGCCTGGCTCTGTTTGGTCCCAGAAACAGAATGAGGGGCAGTTCATGAAAGTCTCAGGGGTATATTTAGGCTCAATGTGAAGAAAAACATTCTAACAATGAAAACTGGTCCAAATTGGAAATGGGTAGCCTAAGATTTCCCATGAAGGGAGGTCTTTAGGCAGAGGCTAGATGACATTCTGGTCATGTGCAGACTAGACTTGACCTTAGAGGCTCTTTTCAATTTTAAGATTCTGTGACTTGGATTTTACTAAGCAGTTCTGAGGAATTAGCAAAAATTTTAAGAATTCAGGTCCACACATATAGAATAAAAATTAAAATGAAGGAATAACATAAATTACAGTAAGATAAATAATCAGGAAACATTTATTAAACACTTGCTAAAATATTATTTAAATCAATTACTACATATTATGTACATATGGTATATCTATGTAACTAAATAAATAGCAGAGACACAGGAATTTAGCCAATATTACCTACCTATTTAACACCTTAAGCAGGGGTGGGGAACCTGGGGCCTCCAGGTCCTTGGGTGTGGCCTTTTGACTGAGTCCAAGTTGTACAGAACAAATCCTTTTATTAAGGGGATTTGTTCTGTGAAATTTGGATTCAGTCAAAAGTCCACACTTGAGGATCTAGAAGATTACAGGTGACCTTGAGGCTGAAAGTCCAGAGTGTCACCCTCCCCTCCCCCATCCTCCTCAGCCTTAAGATTCACCCACTGCGCTAAAGCTAAAAGAAAGGACTGTAATTACCTATAGCCTGAGAAGGTTCTTCTTTTGATTAGAATGAGGTTAAAACAATTGCTCAGTACTTATAAATACGCTTTATTAGTATTATTGGTATTAAAATATATTGTACTTAATTCCCCTTAACTTCCATTTTTAACTTTTCCACGTTATGTGTACAATCAATTTCTCTCTAGTACCTAAGAACTACATAAACATGGAAATTGTTCAGTGGTACATTTGGCACCATCTCCCTGATCGATATGTTGGGAGAAGGTAGAGCAGGGAGTAGAGTAGAGCAGCTACTTAGTACGAAGGAAGGGAGCATCTATTTTAACGTGGCCTGCTACAAGAAGAAACCATGGAGAACATGGCCATATGACCAGCACATAAATAGCAATGGCAGCGCAGGTGAATTGCTGGCAGAGTCACCTCCAGAATACAACAAATTGGGACAACTATTCCAGGGCCTAGTTTTTTTGGGGGGGGTTGAGTGGAGGTAGGATATGGACTTTCCTGATGCAACCCATCTTTTAGACAGTAATTCAGAAAGACAGCAAGCAGAATATGAAGATGGTTGTGCTAGCTGATAATTAAAACAGACCCACCAGCCATAAATTCCACCCAATATCACTGACAAAAGCCCCAGGCCCACTTTACACACTCCACTCAAGATACATGTTTCGTTACTTTTTCCCCTTCATGGCTCCAGCGTGGTCAGAAGCCGCAGAGTGAGGACTACAGAGGTTTAAGGAAATGGCAGAGTGCAGTATGACAATGGTCAGATCCAGGGCAGCCCGGATGCCCAGTCCCCATCTGGCTATAAATATTTAAATGGAAAAGCACTACTGGCCTATTAACCCAACTCCAACCTCTCTTGCTAGTTTCAGTGACCACATTCTATGACAACGCTAAACTGGCCTTGTCTCTGTTCCTCACATGACACTCTAGGTCCCACCTCCACACCTGTGGTACTGCTCAGCCCTCTTGCCTTGAATGAGTACTCCTTCTTCACCTGTCTCATAGAATCTCGCCCCCTTCCTCCAAGATGAAGCTCAAGCAGTAAATTCTACTAATTCCTGTCAACAGCTAGTGCCCAATTTAACTACTTTGCAACTATTTTGTATGTATATGTATACAAAAAAAATAGTTACACAAACGTACACACATAATGTCTCCCGGCCCACCCTTCCCCCACACATATCTTGGCTGTCTTCCCCATTAGGATGTAAGCTTCTCATAAGCAGAGATTATTTCGTTCTCTGTATTTGTATCCCCAGCACCTAGCACAGTGCTTGGACATAGTAGGCACTTAATAAACACTTGACTGGATGACTTTGGATTAAGAGATGTGGATTTTAACCTTGTGCATAGGATCATAGATTAAAAGCTTGAGTTATCTTAGAGATCAGTTAGACTTCTTCATTTACAGACAAAGAAACTGAGGTAAACCGACTTGCTGAAAGTTCCATAATAGGTGGCAGAACCAAAATTTGATCCTTTTGTCTCCAAAGACAGTGCTGTTTCCACTGGATCTCATTAAAAGTAAGACATTTCAATAAAGCATACTAAACTAAATTTATGAATACTCACTATTCTTTTTTATAATAAAAATATTAGTTATAGCATATCATATATATACACCAATGTATATAACTCACCTAAAAGTCTCTCAATGTCATCCACAACCACACAACTGAGCTGGGATTTATATGCATCATCAAAGATCTGTAAGAGAACAAAACCACTTACTATTTTCCTGAGCTTCATAATTATGACAAATCCCAAGAAAATGAACCTTAGTTATTATTATTATTATTATTAAACAACACCTAAAGAAAGTACAGTAAAACCTCATTAATCTATACCACACTCATTCAGAATCCTAAAATGTTAAACTTGACATCAATCTAATCCCCTTATTTTATGGATTAAGAAACTGAGGCCCAGGGAGGGAAGCTGGCATGACCAAAATGTCTCTAGTTAACCAAAGAGTTCCTACTAGAACCCAGACTTCCTAATCATTCCAATGTTCCTTCCATTATGCCACAACCAATGTGTAATTTTCTAGGAAGATCTGAAGTTCACCTTTTACATTATCCTATAGTCAGTCCACCAATTCTGATCCTATTACCTCTGAAAGGTTTCTGACATCTGTCCCTTCTTTTCCATTACCATTTGGATCATATTATTTTAACAGGTAGGGAACTTATAAGGCATTTAATCCAACTTCTTGTTTTACATAAGAGGGAACTGAGGCCCACAGGGGTGAAGTGTCATCCCTAACCACACAGGTCATAAGGTTCAGAAGAAGAATTCAAGCTCAAGAGTTCTCACTACAAATTTGAGGACCTTTCCACCACACCACACTTCTATTTCCCCTCACTCACACATTTTTACCCAAACTATTATAAAAAGCTCCTAAGTGATCTCCCAAGTTCCCGTACATTCTACATGTAATCATCAGGTGATCCAGTTCTGGCTTTACCCCTAGGCAGGTCAAAATGAAATTCCAGTTTACAGACATTCTAATTGCCAATCAGATAATTCCATTTTGATATCTTCTTATTACTTCAAACTAAACCTGTCTAAAATTGAATTCACTTCCTTGCCCTATCCCCTAAAGAGCTTCCTTCCTAATTTCCCTAAGTTTACCTTGGTATTAGCTATCAATTCTCCAGGTCACCCAGGCAGAAAACCACAAAATCATTTTTGATGTTGGGAATTGCTTGATTTTTAATAGCTACAAGATCTTCTAGTTTAACCTCATTTTATGTTTGGCTTTTTTTTTTTTATATTTGGGGTTAAGTGACTTGCCCAGGGTCATATAGCTAGAAAGTGCCAAGTGTTTGGTCTAAGGCCATATTTGAACTCAGGTCCTCCTAACTTCATGGCTGATGCTCTATCTACTGCGCCACCTAGCTGCCCCCTCAACCTCATTTTAGAGATGAACTGAGGACCATAGAAATGAAGTGGCTTGTCTGAAGTCAGATGCGCAATATGCAGATTACATTTATTGTTGTTTTTCAGTTGTTTCAGTCACATCTGACTCTCTATGACCCTACTTGGGGTTTTCTTGGCAAAGATACTAGAGTGGTTTGCCATTTTCTTCTCCAGCTCATTTTTTAGGAAACTGAGGCAAATTGGGTTAAGTGACTTGCCCAGGGTCACACAGCCAACTGTCTGAGGGCACATTTGAACTCAGGTCTTCCTGACTCCAGACTTAGTGTTCCATTCACTGTGCTACCAAGTTGCCCTTCATGCATATTATATAATGTTTCTCAAAACCAGTAAGAAAGGGGTACAACAAAGGGATTGGGCTGCTTCTCTTGAGAAGATTCTGCCCTATTCATGGGGCAGCAAACAACTTGCCATTTGGGCAGGTTAACAGGGACAATCCAAGGGAAGGGGTCAGCCACTGGAGGCATTTGGGGTAAAAGACACAAGTCCCCAGGGCAGAGTCCACTGAGAATGAAAGCAAATGAGGGAACAGATAAGTGAGAGGAGGGAGAATTCAATTTAATTCAACTCAACTAACATTTGTTAAGTACCTGGAATGTTTACCAAGGTAGGTGCTGAGAGAAAATACAAACTAGAGATCAAAGACTGAGAGCTGAAAGGAACTATAGAGATTATCTAGTTCAATCTTCTCATCTTACAGATGAGGAACCTGAAGCCTACATAATATGGTGCCTACTCTCATAAAGGTTACAGTCTACTGGGGGATATGATACAAACATGAATAACAATAATATAAAGTGACAAGTGGTAAATGCTTAAAAAATTTAAGCAAAGTGCTCAATGAAGGTTGAAGGAAAGCAAGCCACAAGAAATAAGCATTTATTATTGTTGTCATTTTAGTTGTGTCCAACTCTTTCTTGGCAAAGATACTGGAGTGGTTTGCCATTTCCTTCTTCAGTTCATTTTACAGATGAGGAAACTGAGGCAAACAAGGTGAAGTGACTTGCCTAGTGTCACACAGTAAGTGCCTGAGGTCAAATTTGAACTCAGGAAGATGAGTCTTCCTGACTTCAGGACTGGCAGTCTGTGCACTATGGTGCCACCTAGCTGCCCTGATTAGCACTATGTGCTAGGAACTGTTAGGTGTTGGAATACAAACAGAAAAATGAAATTATGCCTATTCTCAAAGTGCTTACATTCTACCAAGGGAGACAAGCACATATGTAAGTATATAATAGAATAAATGTATACATAATATATAACAAATACAAGGTAATTAAATATAAGTTATTAATTATAAAAATAAGTTAAAAATTAAATATGTTAGGAAGGGAGAGCACTTGAAGTATGGGGATCAGTAAAGGCTTCCTCTAGAAGGTGGTGTTTGAGCTGCATCTTGAAGAAAGGAATTCTGTGAAGTAGGGATGAGTGCACTCCAGAATGGTGTTAGCAAAGGCTCGGAGATGGGAAATAAAGCACCAAGTGAGGAAAAACAAGAAGACCAGATTGGCTGGATTGTACAGCATGGAAAAAGGAGTAATATATAACAAGGCTGATAAAATAAGTTGGGGCCAGGTTGTGAAGTGCTTTAAAAGCCAAATGGAGGAGATTATGTCTTATTCTAGAAGCAACAGGGAGGCACTGGAGTTTACTGAGTTGAGGTGTAACATGATCAGAGCTTTGTTTTAGGAAAATCATTCTGGCAGAAGGGTAGAAACTAGATTGGAATGGGGATGACTTAATGCTAGGAGACCAATTAAGAAGCTATTGCAATCAAGCCAAGAGGTAACAAGGGCCTGAATTAGAGTGGTGGCTGTATGAGAAGGGATCAAGGGGGAAGAAATGCTGCGAAAGTAGAAATGGAAAGATATGACAACTGATTGGATATGTAGGGTGACAGACAGGAATCAGATAGTGCCAAGGTTAGGGAACTTGAAGGCTAGAGGAATGGTGGTGCCTTTGACACAAACAGGAAAGTCTAAAGAGGTATGGGTTCAGAGTGAAGGGAGATGAATCCTGTTTTAGATATGTTGCATTGTGATGTCTCCAAAACAGTCTGCAATGTACCAGAAGTAGTTGGTCATACAGAATTGAAGCTCAGGAGAGAGACTGGGGCTGGATATACAGATTTGTTTATTATCTGAATAGAGATTATAATTAAACTCATGGGAGCTGATGATGTTACTAAGAAAGAGTATATAGAGAGAAGAGAACCCAGAACAGAGCCTTGGGAAACACCCACAATTCAGGAATATATCATAACATCATAATATCAGGAATATTCATAACACCATCAGCTGGAAGGAACCTCAGAGGTAATTTAGTTCAATTCCCTCATTTTATATATGAGGAAGCTGACAGCCACAGGAGATTAGAAGTCCACGTAGCTAGGAGTAAAACCAGGGGAGGGTACTGTCACAAAAGTGACTGTCACAGAAGAAAAAAAAAAACTTATTTGGTGGGAGAAGGGGAAGATGGGGAAAATCAAGGAAGGCAGTGATATTTGAGCTGGGATTCAAAGACTGGATAGGAATTTAACAGGTAGAAGAGCAAGAGGTGGGAATTCTTGGCAATGGGAAGAATGAGGAAAAGATTGGAAGCAGGGAAAGGGAAGGGGGCAGGTGTATGCAGGGACAAGTAATATGGCTTGATTGGAGGGCGGAGTGATGTAAGATAAAGCTGGAAAGGCAGGTTGGTAATGGTACTTATAATGGTAGTCTCTTGTGATTTGATGAAGATACACACAGCTCAAACTTAAAGGGAACTTACCTAGCTATAATTTATTGGTATTAAAACAAAGGCTGCAGGGAGCACATATGCCAGTCTGTGACACAGACACCTGCATTGCTTTTGTTCTGAAACAGAACATGTCACAGCACACCCAAAGTCCTATCTAAAGCTATTCAGCTGTATCAGGACCACAAACCAACAGGAACATTGGAGCTCATGCTATTTTATACCCAAGAGGACAAAGGAAGTTGGGGAGCCTTGTGCAAATGCACCAGTCTCAGATAAGCATCCAGAGTAAACTGGGTGAGAATACACCTGGGGAGGGGTTGGTAAAATTCTTATGGTGTTTAGTAGTTGCACTTATGGATTCATCAGTCATTCTAATTATTCCTGTCGACTAGTTCCCCACCTCTTTCTGGAGACAGGGGCTTAAATTTAAGGGAACCCATGGAGCACCAAATCATGGGGATGCTTGAATGTCAGACTAAAGAGTTTGAATCTGAATCACAAAGACTAGATTCCACAGCCTTTTGGCCATAATATTGATCCCTTTGTTACCAAAAATAATAAAAAGCACTACATATGTATAATTACTCTGTAATAAGGATGGTGAATCTGTAGCAAAGGAACACTTCTGAAGCAGCCCTCTTAATATTCTTTATACCATGCTGCTCTTTGAGGAAAACAAAAAGGGAAGGGAAAGAAAGAAACCTTTATAATAGTACTTATTCATGTGCCAGGCACTGTGCTAAGTACTTTTACAAATACTATCTCTTTTGATCCTCACAACAACCTTGGGAGGTAGGTGCTATTATTATCCCCATTTTACAGTTGAGGAAATTCAGGCAGACAGAGGTTGAGTGACTTGCCTAGGGTGACACAGCTAGTCAGTTTCTGAGGTTGGATTTGAACTCAAGTATTCCTGACTTCAGGTCCACTGCTCTACCCACTGTGATACCAGCTGTCTCAGAAAGAAAATGCAGAAGAGCATACTTTTATAGTATAATTTATATGGTATCTGAAGAAAAAAAACTTTC